CCCCAGTTCCATGTTCTCCTGATTGCTTAACACGGTTTAATTAAGAGTAGGGGAGTAAGCAAAATCCTTCAACAAATATGTGAAAATTCCCGGCCGCACTCTAAGTTGCAAATGAAGCAAAACTGTGCAGTTGTGGTGGTGTCTCAAGTATTTCTGTTGTACTCAGGGCTGTGATACTGGAGGAGAAAAATGAGAAATACAATACGATCCTAATTTATGCCTTAGAACTTAATCTGCCACAGCACAGGAGTATGTACTTTATAGGAGTAACAGTCTATAAAGTGGAATTCAACAAGCTGCATTCTTTAAGTTGTGTATTCTGTGCGCCTGTAAATGCTTTCATGTAATTTAGTAAATTGTTCAATTTCTTCTTATTCAGCAGTTGCTAATGATAACACTTTATGTGCTCTTCACAATTGGCTGTAAATCTGAGACATGCAAAGATCACATAGTTGTAAATTAAACCAGGTTTCAAGCTCATCGAGGTTCATCTATTCTGAATTACAGCTGCAAGTTTAGGGTGCTACCTGATCACTTGTGCTCCTGAGATACTATAGCTGTATACACAAGGAGACTGTTTAGAAAAAAACAAACAAAACCCCAACATTTACATGACCACAAAAAGAATCCTTTCCTGCGGCAGAAAGATAAAAAGGCTGTTCTTACTTAAATCTGGTTTCCTGCAGAACTTGTTTGAGGCTTCTCTGCCTGGGTTGAATCTACAGAAAGCTTTACTAACCAACTTAATATAAATTCTTGCCAGTGTTTTTGTTGAGGAGTTGACATTCTGCAAACACCTAGCTTTTATGAAAAATTGTATATTTTTCTTTGAGCAGTATATAACTCCTGAAAGGTCTTCCTCTGTTAAGCACTGCAGACATTGTATAAAGAGTATTTTTACATGTTGCTTTTAATTTAAAATTTGCTTTTTGCACAATGAAATTTCATATGCCCTCTCTGGTCATAGTTCTTCTTTTCATGGGGTGTGCTAAATGATAGAAAATAATTATCTAAATTCAGTGTGGCCTTGAACTGTTTTATGCAAATTCTCTAGCTGCAGTTGTAGCACAACTCTTTGGCCAGCCTTGGATAGCAAACAATTTGTCAATCTTTCTTTTATGAACCTTGTGTCTAAGGGTCTGCCAGCCTTTCTTCTCTGTGGGTTTTGATCTGTGTTTATAGATTCCGCTTTTTGTTTTTAGGCTGGCAGATGGCCAGTTATTTATCTGGGCTCATGTGTATTGTGTGAGGCAGAAACAGGACGTTTTGCATGCTGATATCGTTCACAGGGCACTTGGGGGCCAAAAGGCTGCTCCTAAGCAGAAGCCATTACGTGATGTGTCAGTAGCTCTTGGTCAGTGAACAAAGCCCCTTTTGACATTTCTCTATGTTAAAAGTTATGAAATAACATGAGCTTCATGAACAAACAAGGCGAAACAATGCTCCTACTATGAAATAAGCCATATAATCCATTTCCCCTCTGTTTTGAACTCTCCAGAGTTCAAAAATTTGACACCCTTTTTATATGTTTGTCACTGTTATTTATTCCTTTGAATTTCTGCTGTTGCTTGCTTTGCTCTTGTAGAGACTTCTGGTGCTCTGCTGGGAGAAAAGGATAAAATTCTATTGGTTTTGGAGGAGCTGGATTCACTGCTTCTAATAAATAGTGAATTTGGTGTTGTGGCTTGGTTTGTGGTTCCTTCTATAGGTTTGGCAGCAAAGCCCTGATCAGGCAGGAAATTCAGACCTACAGAGACGAATCCCAAAGGCAGAATTTCGTAGATGAGTATTCTGTTCAGTGTGGCAATTCCTCAGTTTCTGACTCTGTCAACATTATTCTGTGCTGGCAATGGACAGCCAGGGGTGCAAGTGTGGGAATTTTGAAGGAGTGAGGAGGAGGAACAGAAATATTCAGGAGATCTCTTCAGTTCTACTTAAGTGTGGGGCCATCAAGGACTGGAAACAAATTAAAAAATGCACTTAGTGCTCTGTGGAAGCACAGTACAATTAGTGTGCTGTTATTAGTGCTGTTATTCCCATCTTGGTGCTGCTTGCTCAGCTATTGCAGTTCGTAGTTCCCTGGTAATACATGCTTTTATTCAGATACAAAAACTACCCTCAAAAACTATACCTGTTTGATTCTGCCACTCTCATTGCAGGGGGGAAAAAAAAAGTCAGGTAGTCAGGTATCTTCAAGAGAACCTGTACATCTTTTTGCTGGTTTCTCTTGCAGTTCTATTTCCCTGTCCTGTATTGCTTAGCAGGGCTGCTTTATTGTATTGAACACTTCCCTTCTGTGTGAGCTAGCTCCTCATTTATGATTGTAAGCTCACTTCTAAAGATCATTTATAAAATGTTTCAAATTTGTGCAGAATTTCCAGCTTACAAAGAATGATGGAAAACTTTAACTGGTATCTAAAAGTGCTACAGCTGAAGCCTCCAGCTATTTTGAGTCAGATGTCTTGGACTATTTAGAGCATATTGCTATATTTACATGCAGTTCAGAAAGTTGGAGACTGGCATTGATGAAAGGCAGTCATTGGCACCCACAGCACTTTGCCTGCAGATGGACTTGGTATGATACAAACTTTGGGAATTTGCTTGAGGGTGCCTGAGCTCATATCTCTGTGCCTGTGCAAAGTTGACATGGGCTTTTATGAGAGTAAGTGTGAAAGATTTGGGGGTCTGCCTTTCACTCAAAAAAATGGCATCCAGTGGCAATATCCCTTTTAGCACCTTTTCAGGCCTTCTGGAAAGTTTCCAAGTGGAAGACTCCCACCTCCTTAATCACGAGAAAACACTGGCTCTCCTCTGAATGTCATTCATTCAAGTGTGCTGACCTGGCCTGACCTTGTTTAGGTTGAGATCTAATGAGCCCACAACCCAAGGTGGTGTGGTAGCTCTCAGCAGGCTTTGCAAATAAGCAAGTGTTCTGTTTTTCTGTGTGCATGTGGTTTAAATTTATCATGTCAATAAACAAGTGTCTCACATGCTCAAATAGGGACTTTACAACGTTGTAGTTTAGGCTAAATTGTAGCACTACAAATTGTGATGTCACTTTATAAATATAGAAGGAGACAACCTGGAATATTTATGACCTCAAAACAATGAAGTCCTGTTGGTTGAGGTTTTTTAGTTTAGATAATGACATAACACTAAAACTCTAAACCCAAATGGGTCACAAACGTCTTCCAGACAAACAGTCACACTAATGGTTTGGGGAAAACAGAATTAAAAACTCAGGCTGTTGATTTAAGGAAAGGAGAGGCACATCAATAGATTAATAAATAATAAATACAGCTAGGATTTAAATTCCAGTGGAAGGTTTGGTTTTGTTTTCTTTCAAGTCTCCAGGTTTGGAAGAAGAAGTTTTATTTAATATAAATTGTGATAAAATTACCCTCGCTGGTAAAATCACCCTCAGCTTCAGTAGGGACTGTACCACCAAATGTCGGTATTTTCTGTAGCACATAAAACGTGAGGTTTTCAGATTAAAAAAACGTCTAGGACAGACTGTGGCACATCCTACTGAATTAACCAAGTTGACATGGATGGATTAAAGTGTATTTGGACCTAGAGAAGCGGTCTGAGCTGTTGTGAGCACTCTGTCAGTTCCTGTGCTGGCAGTCCCAGGCAGAAGCTGGTGTGTCCAGATTTCCCTGCATGATGCTGTGGGCCAGCAGAAGGAGCCTCCAGCTGTAAATCCCGGCTCTTTCCTGCCGGGACAGCCCTGCAGGAGAACAATGCTCTGGTGTCACACAGCCCACGGCCCATCCATGCTGGAAACAAACGTTGTTAGGGCTCGGTATTTACGTTGGGACCCACAGGGAGGGAGCAACTTGTTTTGTTTTTAATGGAGCGGTCAGGGAGAAGGATGAAAAGCTTTTTGATAATGCGAGGAATGTAGGGGGGGAAGGGAAGTTACCAAGATATGCATTTACTGTAAGTATGAAGAAGCAGAGGCCTCTTTATCAGACTGGCTCTAATGATGTGCCACAGTCACTTTATTTGAAAGCTTCATGGCTCACAGAAAAGTAAACAAATTCATTACATTATTTTTAAAAGAAGATTAACTGTAGTGTGTCGTCTGTTGGACAGCTGCTGTAGTAATCTTTTACAAACACTTTATAAATGACCACCCTCAGTGTTTTCTAGGGCTTTGTGTGGCTGGATTGTTATTTTAGTAAGTACCAGGGTGGTTTTTCAAATGAAAACGTTGTTTCCTGTGTAACAATTCAATTCTACCTTCATCCTAAATATTATTTTGTTCTCAGCATGAACTATAAAATGTCTTCTATACTAATGCAACATATGTTGCTTTTTTGCATGTGTTTGCAATGAATGCTAGCTTTTCCGTAAAAGTACATGAAAAGTATTTTAAACAAGAAAAAGCAATTCCACTTTAGTGTCCTACTTCCATTAGTTCTGATTTCTGCTTTCTTAACCTTTCTCCAGTCTGTGAAAACACCAAGTTGAAAAGATGAGTCAGAGTCAGCTTAGATGATAGGTGAATTGACACTGAACAAATGTTTAAACCCCAACAGGTGTCTTTGGCAAATAAGATTGTGTTCAGGTATTGCCTTGTTTAACATTCTTTGGTTGAATGTCAGCAAGAATAATCTTATTTAGCTCTGTGTCTACATTTGTGTTTGAAAGCACTAGACTGACACAAATTAATGCAACACTAAGGATTTGTGAACTTATAAAGTGGTTTTAACCAGTCTTGCCATAAAGCAGTTGATCTTGTGCATTCAGGTTTCAGTTAGAGGTTCCCTGAACAGGTGAGGGAGGAGCAGGGAGAGGGGGAAGGGCATTTCTTTCTCACCCAGTTGGCCTCCATGGATGTCCCAGGCTCTAGCAGAGGACCTTGCCTGAGTACATCCCTCAGACATCTGGGAATGCCTGGAATGAATCTCATCTTGCTATGGAACAGCATTTTATTCCTACACAATGTAATCTCACACTGGATTTTTCAGGATAAACTCAATTTTTATAGTCAGATAAGCTATTTAAAGCTCTTCATCTGTATGTGAAATACTTATTTTCCTTTGGGATATACTGATGCATATATTTATGGTAGTATGGTTTTAGATGTGAATAATTAACTGTTCTGTCTGCAAACCTAAAGAAATGTCAACCTTTGTGAGATATGTATCTGTGTATGTTTACTGAAGATTGTGCATGTGCTCCTCAAGATTGCTAAAGGATCTCCAAGAGGTCTTGGATGAAGGAGGAAGTTGTCACATCTTTGCCCTTCATAAAATGGAGGTGAAGCCCCTGCATGGCAGACAGAGGTTTTCTCAACCCTGGGAAGTGTGTGGTTACACAACAAACAAAAATTGAGGATCTTAAGGAAACACTACTGCTCCCACTGGAATAAGTGTATGCTGAAAAAGCATCAAAACCCTCCATCCACTGTGAAACAGCCTCTGCTGTTCACATGCCCTCCTCAGGCTGAGAACAAACAGCACGAGAAGTGTTAGTGATGGTTGATACATAGGTGGAAGGTGCTCAGGTTCCTGTAGTGCTCAGAGCAGTATCATGATCTATAGAGAGCAGATGGACAGATCTCTGTGAGTGCAGCATTTGCAGTTCTGGGAGTTGGGCATAGCAGAGAGGTGATGGAAGTACAGTGAACAGTAAAAATATGAAACGTGAACCTTCTGCTTTTAAATATTACCTGTGCCCTTTAATTACATTCATGCATATTTTGTTCACTTTCCTATAGAAAGATAAACACTTAATTTAAATGTTAATTATTTCAGGCTACAAAAGAAGAGGAAGAGCTTATTGCAGAGGAAGAGCTTATTGCAGAGGAAGAGGAAGAACTTACTCCAGAGGAAAAGAGAAAACTGGAAAGAAAATTAAAAAAAGAGCGCAAGAAGAAGGAGAAACAGCTGATGAGGGAAGCTGGAATCTCCATTAAAAAGGTGGAGCCCAAAAAGCCATCGGGATGTGAGCGGGCTCTGGCCTATTTAACCAGGTAAGAACTGTAAAACCACTGCAGGTGCTGCCTGCAGAAGTAAGCTGTAAACCAGTAACCCAGAACAAGCTGTACCAAGCAATAACACATTAAAGGAAATTGCTGCAGTTAAGTACTAGGTTAATGTTTCATCTCGGTTGACACCCTGGAGGACAGTTCATCACTCCATTGTGTTTCTATTACAGCAACACCAGAGAGAAGTTAAGTATGGTGCAAACATTTTATAGAAAGGCAGCTCCTGTCCTGAAGATCTTCTGGTTGTTACATAAATATCACAGGCTTAGCTGCACTTATAGAGATGAAAGGCACATTGCAAAAAAGCTTGCATTGAGAAAATTAGTTTTGTTCCTTGAGTGTGCTGTTCTAGGCAAAGGACTTCCAGTTGTTCTCTTTATATAAGCAGATTCCATGGAGTGGTTAAGCATTTCAGAGTCTGAATTTAACCACCTGCAGAATGTTTGGATATTTGTATATTTAGATGGGATTTGCCACTATTTTAAAGTTAATAGTGTCCAATGCCTGATTTTTGCATACCAAAGTGTACAGCAAGTACAGTGGCTGATTTCAGATTGGAAGTAATCCCTTTATCCAGTTAGCAACTTATTAGAAGACTTAAAATTCCACCATAAAGAAAAGTCTATGGTTAAACTAAAGAACTGCAGCAAAGTGCTCAGGGTACCCCACAGACAGTAAAGAGTTTGTTTAGAAACAGGAAGATGATGTTTATTTGTTTCCAAACTTCAAAATATATCCTGGCTGTAAGACCTCCAGAAGACTGGCATGTCACAAATAGTGGGTTACCACGTGGAATAATTCCAGGGTTGCATCCCTGCCTGTGCTCAAAACCAAAGCATCCAGACTGTCTGAATTGTTACTTACCACTCACAGTGGGAAGGGAGGAAATTAATTGCATTCCAGGCAGAGGGACATGTGCATTTTTGTTACATAACCCTCAGCATGCAGCGATAGCAAAATGACAATAATATTTTTGATCTGGAAAACAGCTGGAGCAGTTCACCACTGTTTTGAACTGCAAATGGATTGACAGTTAGCTTTGAACCAGATCTACAGATAATGGATTTCAGGTTTGGAAAGTAAAGGAACAAGCTGTGGGGTTTCGCTTGTTATTCCACTGTTATCTGTATGGATTTTTGCTTTATTACATGGGAGAATATGAAATTATATTTGAACTAATATTTGAACAAATTTGATTCTAGAGTTTCACTTAACCTGTACCAAATTACCCTGAAATAGAAAACCAGCTCTGTCATTTGGTCTTGTCATACAGAGTCTGTGGGTTGTATGTACAGCAATAGGTTGTGAGGGATTATTTCAGCAACAGACAATTTGAATTTTGTAGATTTAACAGGGGTAGTCACAAGATGCTGAACTGCCAAGCAAACATCGTCATAGTCACCATTCTAGCCTCAAATGTGCCCAGACCATCTTGAACCATTATTAGTTATAGAATAACAACTTAGTCCTTTTACACCTCAGACAATTTTTCAACCCAGTGAGACTGCAAAAGAAATAACTGGATTTAAATGAATCCAAGAAGTAATATAGTAGCTGGGGAAGGGTAACAAAAACCCAGATTCTGGAAAGCCATTGCACGCTCTCCAGCATACTGAGTGGGTGAAGGATTTCAGTCTACATGCATTTGCAGGGCTACAGGCATGAATAATGTGTGGGAGGATAAGTAAACCTTATAGATGCAAGAGATCAATATAATTGGAAGCAAACAAAAGAGTGCTGTGGATTTGTGTTTTGCCCCACCCACAATAAATGCTTTACATGACACAAGTGTGGGTAAGTGAAGTGGCATCCTCAGTGCCTGATGGCATGTGAATCTCCTGTAGGACAGGTGGAACTTGATGTACCATATGATAACTGCAGCTGTCATTTTTATTTATTGAGGGGCTGTTTGCAGCAGGAGAGCACAGCTGTACGAGGCACAGGGTGACTTTCACAAAGCTGTGCCTCGTGCTGTCAGCCATGGGGAGTTAATGAAGAGAGCATTGACAGCAGGGAATAAGGCACACAGTGTGCAGGGCAGGGCTGCTCACTGCATCCCA